AGGTGTGCCCCAGGGCTCTGTCCTGGGTCCTGTAACAGAGGAAACTCTGTTACTAGTGGCTATTTTTACATTTCACACCTAACACTTTATAAACCTGCTGCAAAAGTTTAGATAAAAACTTTGTCACACAGTCTGTCAGGACCTCTTTAGGTATGCCTACCCTAGAAAACAACTGTATAGCCCTTTTCAGATTGACATTCTGGAATATGTGTGGACAATTCAGTCCGGTTTTTAACCAGAACTGTGTTTTCAGACACACCACTGTTGTCCCTGAACTTGTCCTTTCAGCTGCCTTCACACAGCAGGGAAAAGTTCCAGATGTCTGAGGGGGAGGGGGTGGGAAGGCTGTACCCGGATATTGCGTAAACATAGTGCGGCGGGCATACATGCGTCATTTACCCAAACAAAGCCATTCAGTCAAACATGGCCGACAAAGAGATAGAATTCCTCTCACTGATCGGACTTATGTTAAGCATAATTCTGCGCACACAAAGACACATAAGAGACCTGGATGATGAAGCTCAATGGTTAAAGGAATCACGGAAGCGGTGTGAAGAGCTCCGTCGCACGTCTAGGAGACGGTACCGTAGGAGGCGAGCTGCCATGGTTCGCCGCATGCTACAGGAGCGAGCTATCTAGGTGCGCACAGTGTCCCCTGGTCCCCTCCTTCTCTCCCTCCTCCTTGTCCAGAACTCGACCTCACCAGTCTGAAGCAGCCACCCTGTCCGTGTCAAGTCCGGTCCTGTTACTAGGGGCTTCGTCCTGTTTAATTACGGAAAAGGTTATCCGGATGTTTGTATTCAGACACAAAGGTCTTAAGGACAGAGTCCCGAACATTTCCGTTTTTCATGGCCTGTCTGAAGGGGGCTTATGAGACAGCTAGCCACTTGTCTGGCCTTAATGGGTCTAAGCGGGAATGCCTCTGGCTAACGTGTCGCATAGTCACAGACAACTAAGATATATCGGTGACCAGAAGAGCTTTTCTCTAAAGGGCCGACTGGGTGTGAAATATAAAAATAGCCACTAGTAACAGAGTTTCCTCTGTTAACAGTCCTCTTGTTTATAATCTATCTCCTACCCCTCAGCAATATTTTCCGTAAATTTGGTATACAATTCCATTGCTACGCTGATGACACCCAGCTCTACATTTCTAGTAAACCCCATTCCACCCTTCTGCCATCCACCCTTACCCTCTGCCTCTCAGAAATTAAAAAATGGTTCACCTCCAACTTTCTTAAACTTAATTATATATAACCGGGTCACCTTAGTTCCCAGAAGTAATTCTGGTTGACGTGTCATGCCGCTGACACAGGAGAGGCCAGGTGTGTAATTAGAGGGCTGCTATAATTAGGTCAGCTGGGGTCTAGCCGCAAAAGCCGAATGCCTCGCTTTGGGTGCAGACGTGGGTGCAGCTAAGTGGTGAGTGACCTGGCTTTGCTTTATTTTAGTTAAATAAAGGTTATATTCTTAATGGGTTTCTCTTTATGAAGTGTGAGCAGGACTTAGGGGTGAACAACCGGGAATTTACATTGGCAAGCGGTCGGCCGATGAGGTATGGGTTTAGAACATTCATAGCATTTTTGTGCTTCGTTAGAATACGATTAACAATGTGTGTTTGTTCACAGATCTTAGCCTGCTACTGTTTTTCCAGTTCTTTTTATTAAACCTTTTCAGGTTTTATTTTATCATTAGTCGTCTTCTCTAGAGGGGGAAGGAAGGAACACTTTTATGAGACTGGTGGTTAACATTGAGGACAGAGCTGTCTCTGGGAGGGTAGTCGTTTCTTTTAGAGTATCCGCTGTAGGGGTTTGTCGGGGGTTTGACTCACTTCTGGGGGCGTGTGTATGAGCTTTAGTTAAAGGGAGCACCGGGTGTTTTTCTTTATATTATTGTCTTTTGTGTCGGTTCTCTACAGCGGCCTTGTGCTTTTAAAGAGTAGTTGGATGGCGTTGTGTGTGTAGTCCCAGAGCCAGCATTGTCGTCGCTCCCCCCTCCTCTCGTGTTTAGAGTTTTAGTCTAGAGTTTTAGTCTCTCTTTTATCCCGACCTGGGTTGTTTTTTTTTAGTAAATCTTATCTGTGTTGTGTCTTATAAATAAAATTGTTAAACTTGTGAACAAGCCTCTGCTGTTTTCATCAAGGGTTATTATTACCTACGGTTTTAGGATCTAAGTATCCAATCCTCTAGGTCACATATAGTAAAACTGAACTTCTCCTGGTTGGTACCAAGTCCAACATCGCCAAGATTTACAACTTCTCCATAACCATTGACAACACCGCGGTTACCCCAATCCCTCAGGTGAGGAGTCTGGGTGTCATCCTCGACAGCTCTCTCTCGTTTCAGGCTCACATCAATAACATAACTCGGTCTGCATACTTTCACCTCCGATCCATAAATCGTCTCCGCCCTTCCCTTACGTCTAACGCTACAACCATCCTAGTCAATGGCCTTGTTACCTCCTGCCTTGATTACTGTAATTCACTTCTGTACGGTCTTCCTAGCAAACTCACTCAAACTCCAACTTGTTCAGAATTCAGCAGCACATATTATTAGTAGAACTGACACTTTCCACCACATCACCCCGGTCCTCCAGTAGCTTCATTGGCTTCCCATAAAAATTCAATCTTCAAAATTCTAGTCCATACATTCAAAGCCATCCATTCCATATCCCCTCCATACATTGCCAGTCTCATTACCATTGCTACACCCTGCCGTTCTCTTAGATCTTCCTCCTCCATCCATCTGGTAATTCCTTCATTCCACCTCAGCACCATGGGGAGTAGGGCTTTCAGCTGCTCTGCTCCCCATCTCGGGAACTCTCTGTCTCCAGACATCAGAAACACCGATAGCTTCAACCTCTTCAAAACCAAACTCAAAACCCATTTGTTCCGAACCGCTTATTGTTTGCGATTTAATCCGTTTTATGCTGTTTTGTTGTCCTTTAGTTGTTTTGTTTGCATTTTTATTGTGTACTGTGTTCTTTCTCCTGTAAAGTGACCTTGGGTGACCTGAAAGAAGCTTTTAAATAAAATGTATGATTATTATTATTATTATTATTATTATTAAAATAACACTGTCATTAGCTGTGTCAAAGGCAGCACTGAGATCTAACAAGACTAGAACAGACACAAGATTCTTATCTGAGGCCATGAGAATATCATTTGTAACTCTCACTAATGCAGTTTCAGTGCTGTGATACTCTCTAAAACCAGACTGAAATTCCTCAAACAGAGCATTAGTGTTTAAATGCTCACATACTTGGATGGCCACTATTTTCTCCAGGACTTTGGATAAAAATGGAAGGTTAGAAATAGGTCTATAATTCATTTGGTCATCTGGATCCAGAGAAGGCTTCTTAAGTGAAGGTTTGATTACAGCAACCTTAAAATCCTGTGGTACGTATCCATTTACTATGGATAGATTGATTAAATCTAGAATGGGGGCAGTAACCAAAGGAAATGCATCTTTAAATAATTTGGTTGGGATTGGATCTAAAATGCAAGTGGAAGGTTTAGATGAAGCTAATATTTTCGATAACTGAAAGCTCAACTGGATCAAAACGGTTCAAACACAGATGAGGTTCTACAGTTACCTCTGATGCTGCCTCACTTACTGAGGAAGAAGAAATCTCATTAGGGAGGATGCTAAAGATTTTGTTTCTAATAGAATTAATTTTACTTGTGAAAAATCCCATAAAGTCATTGCTGCTGAGGGCTAAGGGAATAGATAGTTCAGACCTATGAATCTGTGTAAGTTTGGCAACTGTACTGAAAAGAAATTTAGGATTATTCTTATTCTCCTCAATTAACACTTAGAAATAAGCAGTTCTAGTTTGTTGAAGCTTATTTTTATAAAGCACAAGACTATTTTTCCAGGATAGGTAGGACTCCTCCTGGTGTGCAGAGCCCCATGTTCTCTTCAATTTCCTAGAGTTTTGTTTTAAAGGGATAGTTTGTTTTTTGGGACATGAAGTTGTATGAGTTCCTTATCCCACCCAGTGCTCTGTAAACAATGACCCATTTCACACACACCCCTGCTCAGAGATTTTCAGGGGGAAAGGGATACAGGAAACAACTTCTGGCTAGTTTCAGGGGTACTGTATCTCCGCTGTTTAGTGTCACAAAAGGATTTGCCTCTGAAAGCATGACTAATGTACATCTCAGAAACACAGCCAGGTAAATTTACAACTTCACATTAAAACAGGACTACTTTTTATCATTCCTATCATGCGCCACTCAGCGCAGGGACAAAACGGCATCTCATCTGACTGCTAAAATTCTGGCTGTGTGAGTGAAACAACAACTTCCTAAAGCTGTTTTTACAGGACCATAGAATTTTCAAAACAGGATTTGCCATGGCTCCCTGGGGAGGATAAAGGTCGTTTACAAGATCAGACCATGGCGGTAATGTGGCTCAATCGTGGCAATTTTATAAAAGATTAGGTGACGGCGGCATTAACGGGGTATGGGGGCAGTCTCTGCACTGCTGCAGACTTCTGTTTATCTTGGACATAACTTGCTTTTTATTGCGATTGAATCCGTGATCGTTACGTTTTTTTTTAAACAAGAAGCTCCTACAGATGTCTGTCCTCATCAGTCCCTGTGCAGTCTCTGGTGATCTGAGCTTCAGCAATAATAGATGCTCATGGCGCGCTGCGGCGCTCTAGTTTGCCATGTCAGCTGATTTTGTTCAAAAAGCAAACCATATTGCCCGTGTTTATTCTCATTTCCAATAAATTTGCCAGCCAGAGCTCAGCAATAACTACCCATGTCATCATGACATCTGCCTCTGTTTTGCCAGGGCGCGTACGACAGACCATTACCGCAATATTACTACCAAGCGAGGCGGAACGAATGCCGCAAATTTGTGCAACGCCATGCCGCGTTTATAAGACATACCACTGCGGTAATATTAGGCCGATTTGCCGGCATGGTGTGTCTTATAAAAGAGGCTTTAGTCAGTAAAAAGAGACTGACAGGGCAGAAGCACAGCTTCGTCTGGCAGAGGAACAACGGACTCTGACCACACTGCAGCAAACCAAGGTCAGACTTGAGATCCGCCTCCTAAATGCTACGCTCAGACAAGCTGGTCTCTCCACATCAGATGAGGAAGTCTGAAATTATTGTGGAGTTGCAAAATTGTTACACCAGCTTCCAGCACTCACCTGGAAGGTATCTCAGAACAGCGGTTTGGTTTTTGGGGGTGAAACTATGTGCTCCAAATACCACAGAAGTCAACTCTACTGGCAGTTTGTATCAACTTCTCCGACCGCTGGATCACCGGCAGCCTTCACCACAAGGACTCGTAGATTCTGCACAACTGGCGTGGGATGGTGTTTTTAATAGAGATTGTTAAACCATACATTCAGACTTATTTTACAACCCAGATATCACAATTTTCTAAGACACTTGGTTTTGCTACATAACATCTAAGTACACATTCCATCATTTCATTCATTGTCCCAGTTATCTTGTTTCAACCATAATTTATCATCATTTGTTCCGTGTCATCATTAGTGTATGGTACATGGCCTGTATTTGATATAGCGCCTTCTAGAGTCCTGGAAACCCCCCAAGGCACTTTACAACACAATCAGTCATTCACCCATTCACACACACATTCACACGCTGGCGGGGATGAGCTACGATGTAGCCACAGCTGCCCTGGGGCGCACGGACAGAGGCGAGGCTGCCGAGCACAGGCGACACCAGTCCCTCCGACCACCACCAGCAGGCAAGGTGAGTGAAGTGTCTTGCCCAAGGACACAACGACAGCGACAGACTGAGCGGGGGCTCAAACTTGCAACTTTTCGATTACGGGGCGAGAACTTTACTCCTGTGCCACCGTTGTCCACACAGTAGTAGAAATGTAGTATTAAATTTGTTTTTAGAAAATATTTTTCGCTCTGTCTCAAAATATTACGAAGGTGTGATTTTCCCTGAACTACCAAAATGACCTGGTTTCATTTTAGATAAAATTTCAAAAGATCAATAATATTGATATTTCACATTTATATATAATATCACATCTTACTGATCATTTATTAAAAGTAACCACTTATGTCATGTTACACAACCAAAAAGCTTCTGTCCAGGGTGGACACTCGTGTGATTGTTTAAACTAATCTTTTGACTAAATCCTTGTCCACAGAGCTCACATATAAAAGGCTTCTGTCCTGTGTGGACTCTCGTGTGTCTGTCTAAATCTGTCTTTCGGTTAAATCTTTGTCCACAGAGCTTACAGGCAAAAGGTTTCTGTCCAGTGTGGACACTCATGTGAATGTTTAAACTCAGCTTATGATTAAATCTTTGTCCACACAGCTCACAGACAAAAGGTTTCTCTCCTGTGTGGATTCTCATGTGGCTCTTTAAACTTGTCTTTCGAGTAAATCTTTGTCCACACAGCTCACAGGCAAAAGGCTTCTGTCCTGTGTGGACACTCATGTGACTGTTTAAACTTTTCTTATGACGAAATCTTTGCCCACAGAGCTCACAGGCAAAAGGCTTCTGTCCTGTGTGGACATTCATGTGAATGTTTAAACTTGTCTTATAACGAAATCTTTGACCACAGTGCTCACATATAAAAGGTTTCTCTCCTGTGTGGACTCTCGTGTGTCTGTCTAAATCTGTCTTTCGGGTAAATCTTAGTCCACAAAGCTCACAGGCAAAAGGTTTCTGTCCAGTGTGGACACTCATGTGAACGTTTAAACTCAGCTTATGATTAAATCTTTGTCCACAGAGCTCACAGACAAAAGGTTTCTCTCCTGTGTGGATTCTCATGTGACAATTTAAAATTGTCTTTCGGTTAAATCTTTCTCCACAGAGCTCACAGACAAAAGGTTTCTCTCCTGTGTGGATTCTCATGTGGCTCTTTAAACTTGTCTTTCGAGTAAATCTTTGTCCACACAGCTCACAGGCAAAAGGTTTCTGTCCACTGTGGACACTCATGTGACCGTTTAAACTCAGCTTATGATTAAATCTTTCTCCACACAGCTCACAGACAAAAGGTTTCTCTCCTGTGTGGATTCTCATGTGACAAATTAAAACTGTCTTTCGGTTAAATCTTTGTCCACAGAGCTCACAGACAAAAGGTTTCTCTCCTGTGTGGATTCTCATGTGACAATTTAATCTTGTCTTTTGGTTAAATCTTTGTCCACACAGCTCACAGGCAAAAGGTTTCTGTCCACTGTGGACACTCATGTGACCGTTTAAACTCAGCTTATGATTAAATCTTTGTCCACACAGCTCACAGGCAAAAGGCTTCTCTCCTGTGTGGATTCTCATGTGACTGTTTAAACTTGTCTTTCGGTTAAATCTTTGTCCACACAGCTCACAGGCAAAAGGCTTCTGTCCTGTGTGGACACTCATGTGTCTGTTTAAACTTGATTTAACCATAAATTCTTTTCCACAGTGATCACAACTAAACGTTTTAGTCTTTCTCTGGACTTCCCTACATGAGTCTGCATGTTGCTTCACTATAACACATTCCTTACTAACACAACAGCCTGAAGACCTTGTTGCTAAATGACTTGTCATTTCTGCTGTCACATGGTCAGCTGAGCTGCTCGCTGGAACATCTCGGTCTTCTGTTTGCTGCTGATGAAGCTGTGAGACGAGAGGTTTTTCTTCATCATCCTCACTCTTTATAGAACCAGCAGTGAATAGAAATCTGGCAGCATCAGCCTCCTTCAAATGTAGCTGCTCTCTCTCCAGACTGGTCCAGAGGTCGTCCTGTTCCTCCTTTATGTGAAGGAGTTCTGGTTCCTGCCGGTCCTCACCAGCACTCTGTTCTTCATGAGCTTCTTCTTTAACCAGCGCCATTATTTTAACACCTGTAGGAAAAACAGAAACACAGTGAATTACTGAATGCTGTAACTTTCTATTCACACATTTAACAGTAATATTATTGCTTTAAAGAGCAAGTAACACCCAAACCAACTATTCTTTTGGCTGATAAACTGTATAAATGAGTATCTAATAGTGTTGTACACATTCAAGTTTATTTATATAGCGCCAAATCAGGACCAGAGTCATCTCAAGGACCTTCACACAGTAAAAATTCCAATACAGGTCAGGTCATTAAGCCGATCAGTAACAAGTTTCTTATATAAGGAACCCAGCAGGTCGCATCGAGTCACTGACTAGTGTCAGAGTCTTTACAGCAATCCTCATACTAAGCAAGCATGCAGCGACAGTGGAGAGGAAAACTCCCTTTTAATAGGAAGAAACCTCCAGAGGATCCTGGCTCAGTATAAGCAGCCATCCACCATGACTCACTGGGGATGGAGAAGACACACACACACACACACACACACACACACACACACACACACACACACACACACACACCAGTTTTAATTTTGTTGACAAAATATTTTTGTCTTTTTTCTTCTTCACGAAAATATATTTACAGATGAAAATGAAACAAAATTTTAGGGATGTCCGATATTATCGGCCGATATTTGCATAAAAATGTAATATCGGAAAATATCGGTATCGGTTTTTGAGTGACACAAACACAACTTTTCTCCTCTCTCTAAAAATGTCAAAATATTTAAAATCTGATGTATAATTTTGATGATATTATAATTTATCTGGCACAAAGTGCATTAAAATGCTGTGGCTTCAGCATTTCCCAGCCAACCCTGAACTCACCATCTCTCGGCGCACACTTGATTACATCATCAAACCGTGTCTTTTCTTGCAGCAGAACGTGTAGCATGTAGCATGTGAGAAGAGGATTCGCCAGCATGTGTTTGATTTGGAATTATTTCAAAGTGTCTCTGGACAATAAAATTGCCATTTGTGATTACTGTTAAGTGGAGGTTATGCGAGGAGTAATCAAGACGTCTTCTTTTAATACGTCGAATTTAATCGCCCACCTCAAGAAGGATCATCCGGAGCTACACGCAACGTTTCTGCAGCAAAACGATGAAAAGAAACGACCCCTAAAAAAACCCACCCAGTTGACCGTTAATGAGCTGATCGATAAAAAAACAAAAATACAACAAGGACCACCCCAGAGCCAAAGCCATTAATCAGAAAATCATGGAGTGTATAGCACTGGATAACCAGCCGTTTTCAATCGTGCAAGACACCGGATTTCCTAAACTTGTTGAGTATCTTGAGCCACGCTTTGCTATTCCCAGTCGTAAGTATTTTACGGATGTCTGCTTGCCTGAGTTGTACAATACAGTGCACAGTCAAGTTGAGGAGCTAATTTCAGGTGCTGTGTCCCTCAGCTTCACAACAGATATCTGGTCTTCAAGTGTTAGCCAGATTAGCATGCTAAGCTTGACTGCACAATGGCTAGATAAGGACTTTGTGTTGAAAAAGGCTGTGCTACATTCCCAAGAGTGCCGTGGTTCTCATACAGCTGCAACGATCTCAGCTGCTTTTGAAGGGATGTTTGATGAGTGGAAAATCCCCAAGGGCAAAAGTGCATGTTGTTGTGAGGGATAATGCACGTAACATGGCTAAAGCTACGTTGGAGTTTGGTGTGAAAAGTCTGCCATGCATGGCACACACTTTGCAGCTGGTAGTGAACGGAGGGGCTCTGTCTCAACGCAGCATCACAGATGCTCTGGCTGTGGGAAGGAAAGTGGTTGGACACTTCAAGCACTCATCTCAAGCTTCCAGTCGTTTGGAAGACATACAAAATGACCTAAACTTGCCTGTTAAAAAACTGCAACAGGATGTTGCCACCAGGTGGAATTCCTCCTTTTATATGATGCAGAGTCTGGTGGAGCAGAAGAGGGCTTTAAGTGCATATGCTGCTGATTGTGAACTCCCTGCCACATTAACCGCAACTCAGTGGGGAATTCTAGAGAAAATGACCAGCCTACTGGAACCCTTTGAACGGCTAACCAGGGACATCAGCTCCTCCATGGCCACTGCTGCAGATGTCATCCCTGGTGTGGTGTCCCTGACTCGGCTGCTTACCAAAAGTGATGAAGAACATGACAAAGGGGTGAAAACAGCCAAACGCACTCTACTGGAAGCCATCAATGATAGTTTCAGTTATGTGCAAAAAGAACCCCTTTACACCATTGCAACCACGGTTGACGCTCGTTACAAAGACCGTTATTTTGACATGGACAAGAAGGAGGAAGCACGCAACATGCTTCTGAAAGTTGTGGAACAAACGAAAAAGACCAATGGCTTTGAAGATCAGCAAGGTGAGGTTGCAAGTGCCAGTGCAGATGACCCAGTGCAGGAGGACAAGAACCCCCCACAAAAGAAAGCCCGAACTGGAAGCCCAAAACTGCAGGACATGTACCAAGAAATCCTTGAGGAGAATGAACCCAATGAACAAACAGCTACAGGGGAGACGGCGTCCCAGGTGAGTTATAAGTTGTAGTAACAACATGACTGTATGGTAATTCACAAGAAAATTTATATGAAATTAATAAACATTGGACTGTGAGTGCTTTGAGAATAGCTAATACAGTTCTGTTTTAGTTTTGTACATTTGTCTGTCTTTAGGTGCATGCATACCTGAGAGAAGCCACCATTTTAAAGGAGGAGTGCACTTTCAAGTACTGGAGTTCCAACCAGACCCGCTTCCCTGCTGTTTCCTGTGTAGCACGCAAGTACTTAACTGCACCCTGCACCAGTGTTGACAGCGAACGGCTCTTCAGTGCTGACACCCAAGTCATTGATGAGAAGCGGAACCGTATTTGTAGTGATAATGCTGAAATGCTGATTTTCATTCAGAAAAACCTACCTCTCACTCAAAAGGATGAGTGAAAACGTGTGCAGGAACCCTGTCACATAGCCCCGTCAACCTTAATGCTTCCTTTCACTTAAATTTTTTGCACTTTATGAGAGCACTATTTTTATTTACTGGACATTTGTTTTAATTTGCACATTTGGTTACTTGAATGAGTAGGGCTGATTGAGCTTAGTTACTTTACTGATTGTAATAATCAAGTTATGGCTACTAGCCAGTTTCATGTGGAGCTCAATTAGAGCAGGGCTTGAGCCCAGTTCATTTTAAAAATGTTACTCCAAGTAGGCCAATTACTGGCCCTGTTTAAATGTATGCTGGAGTTTAATGCTTTATCTTTTGCAGTTGTTTGCACTTTACCTTACAGTTGTAAAGTTATGTTTACATTTTATGATTCAGCTGCTGTTGGAGAAAAAATAAATATGGCAATTTTTTTCATTGCATAACTTGAAAATGAAGCCGTAGTCATTTTGCATAGATAATGTTTAAAGTTTGTGTGCATGACAGGAGGTTTGTGATGTTGGTTACATAAATTTTTTCTTTTGTTAATGGGGGGACCTCACAAATATCGGTATCGGTTTATATCGGTATCGGGAATTAAGAGGTAGATAATATCGGATATCGGGGGAAAAAAGCCAATATCGAGCATCCCTACAAAATTTCAAAATAAAAGCTTGGAAAAAGACGAAGACGATTATTAAATTGATTGAAACTTTTAGTCAACGAATGGAAGACGAGACAAAAATCCACAATGACGCTCTTCTACATGGCACTCTATGGTGTGGTGCGCCTATTGTGTTGTTGTGAGACGCGAACGTAGTAGAAGACAAGGGGCGTGGCGTGAATGTGCGGGATGTGAGCGAAGACAGACTCTGAATAGTATAAAGGGGCAGGTATGCGCGGTATGCTAAACATAGCTCACTGAATATATCGACGGCATAAGAAGAAGGAGTAGAGGAAAATGTTAACTGCTGGGCGAAAAAGAAGAGAAGATGTGTGGAGTCATTTTTCTTATGATAACATTGCTACCAAAACTACATGCCGAGAGTGTGGACTGTCGTTCCGAGGAAAGAACAACGAATCTGAAGAGGCATCTACAGAATGGCCACTTCGCCATTTTCTCCGAGGTAAATCCACTTAAATGTTGTACACGTGACGACCCGAAAAGTAATATACAGGCAAATAAAACTGTATCAACTCTGTCATGTTGGGATAAAAATTCGGAAGTGCCTCCTCTTCATCATCTGCCTCCTCATCCTCCTCCTCCACACAACCAGTCTTTAGGTTTCTCTCCAAATTCGGAGCAAAGCCTAAACCAAAGTCTTCCAAGTGTAGTGTTAGACAGCAGATAAGCCAGTATAAGGAAGAGCTCTCACAGTCCATCACTTGTGAAACGGGAATGGAGTTTTGGCTTGGAAAATGTGACACATTTTATCACGGCCTGAAACCATTAGCATCAGATATATCGGCAATGCCAGCTTCTCAACCTTTTGCAGAAAGAGTGTTCAGTATCACAGGTGACCTCACTAGAGGGAAACGCAACCGAGCAAAGGTCACACTAGCACAAAGTGCTTTTCTCAAAATGAATCGCAGCAAATAAATATTCACACTGTTTGGTTGAGCCTGTGTTGTAACAAGTGAATATCTCCAGACTCAGGGTTAACATGTTTAAATTTGCTGTTCTTGTAAATTCTTGTTGTGCAATTGCTAAAAAGAGCACCTTTGTAATTTCCAGTGTGCTTTTTGTTTTTTTATTAAACACGTAAGTGTTAAACATGTGAAGTGTTTTTTTATTCAAATATTCTATGTTCTTAGCTGTGTGTGCTATATCTGTGGTGGTTAAGAGTTTGGACCCTGTGTATTAAATTACACTAGTTTTTCCGTGCTCTATTAAAAAGTAGGAAATTAATTCATTAGAAAAAATATATGCATTTTGTTGACTAAAATTGATTATTTTCATCGACTAAAATTGGACTAAGACTAAAATTAATTTTTAGCCAAAAGACTAAGACTAAAATAAAATTCAAATTTCCAGTCAAAATTTAACACCGACACACACACACACACACACACACACACACACAAATTTCCTGTCAAAATTTA